TCCAAGATGATTTGGAGACTATGAAGAGGAAAGTCACTGCAATTAAAGCCGTGCTTCGTGACGCTGAGAGAAAGGCCACGAAAACGGAAGCGATCAATGATTGGCTACAAAAGCTGAGAGGTATGTTGCTTGATGCCGAAGACTTGTTGGATGCCTACTATGCTGAGGAGTTAGCAAGGGAAGTGATGACCAAAGATAAAATGGCGAAGGAGGTACGCATATTCTTCTCCAAATCAAACCGACTTGTTTGTGCTCATAAGATGGGTTGTAAGATTGGGGCAATTAGGAAGAAACTAGACGAGATTTATGATGAGAAGAATCCACTTCAATTGCATGAGAGCTCTTCGAGCACTTCGAATGAGTCTTGTGAATGGAGACGAACCGGCCCAGATGTGAGCGAACAAGATGTTGTCGGGAGAGATGAGGAAAGAATGCATCTTGTTAGTACCCTTTTAAGCTCTGATATTAAAAATGATGTCTCAGTGATTCCCATAGTTGGGATCGGAGGATTGGGAAAGACGACACTTGCTCAACAAGTGTATAATGATGTGGCTGATAAAAATCATTTTGAGCCTATGATGTGGGTTTGCGTGTCTGATGAATCCCATCAACTTTCCAATAACTCGTTAGCTCAAAAGATCATTAAGAAGGAAACATCTGATGGTGCCCTCGAGCTATTAAGACATAAAATTAAGGACAAACGTTTTCTGCTCATGTTAGATGATGTTTGGAATATTAAGAATCGTGGGGAATGGCTTAAATTAGAAAACTTGTTCAAAGATGGAAGAAAAGGAAGTATGATCATTGTCACTACATGGAGTACGGAAGTGGCGGATAAAATGGGCACAAATCCACCTCTTTCCTTAAAAGGATTTGGATAAAGATAACTCTTGGGAGCTATTTTGCAGAGTGGCCTTTCGGGACGGGCAAGAACCTGCTGATCACAAATTGGTATGGATTGGAAGGGATATTGTGAGAAAATGTCATGGAGTTCCGCTTGCAATAAGAACCATTGGTAGCTTATTGTTTAACAAAGAAGTGAGTGAGTGGTCATCTTTCAGGGACAGTGAACTTGCAAATATAGATTATGAGAATGATAATATTTTTTCTATCCTTAAACTTAGTTATGATCATCTTCCCTTCTATTTGAAAAATTGTTTTGCATTTTGCTCTTTGTTTCCAAAAGATTACAAGATTGAGAGAGAAACACTAATTCAGCTATGGATAGCTGAGGGGTTCATTCAACTCTTGGATAAAAATAGACTCTTGGAAGATGTTGGTGATGAGTATTTCAGGCAGTTGTTGTCGAGGTGCTTGTTTCAAGATGTGAAGGAAAATGATTCTGGTGACATATGGTCGTGCAAGATGCATGACCTCATACATGATCTAGCACAATCAGTCACTAAAAATGAGTGTTACATTGTCACAAGTGAAAAAATAGAAGAAGAGAAATTTGGTGATGGGATTCGTCATATGTCAAGTCATTTTCATGGTGCCTGCAAGTTTTCACTTGGTAATGCCAACACCAAAAGAATGAGAACAATTTTGTTCATACAAGGACATTTGGATTTTATCTTGAGTCAGTCTTCAGCAAGAGTTTTTAATCTAATTTGCAGGCCTACAACATCACTTCCAACGCACTTATGTGTATTGGTTCTTGTAGATCAAGAGTTGAAAATTTTAGAGAGTATCGGAGACTTGAAGCATTTAAGATATCTTGATTTAAGTAGGAATCGTAAACTTAAGAAGCTCCCACGAGGAATCACCAAGTTGTATAACTTGTTGACCCTAAAACTTAATAGTTGTTTATCTTTGGCATCACTTCCAAAATCCATTGGAAATCTCAGATCATTACAATCTCTTTACCTCTCTGGCTGCACATCTTTGGAATCACTTCCAGAGTCCATCAGAAATCTCACATCATTGCAATCTCTTAACATCTCTGGCTGCAATTCTTTGGCATCACTTCCAGAGTCCATCAGAAATCTCACATCATTGCAGTTTCTTGACCTGTCTGGCTGCACTTCTTTGGCATCACTTCCAGAGTCCATCAGAAATATCACATCATTGCAGTCTCTTGACCTCTCTGGTTGCACTTCTTTGGCATCACTTCCGGAGTCCATCAGAAATCTCACATCATTGCAGTCTCTTAACCTCTCTGGTTGCACTTCTTTGGCATCACTTCCGGAGTCCATCGGAAATCTCACATCATTGCAGTCTCTTGACCTCTTTGGCTGCACTTCTTTGGTATCACTTTCGGAGTCCATCAAAAATCTCACATCATTGCAGTCTCTTCACCTCTCTAGCTGCACTTCTTTGGCATCACTTCCGGAGTCCATCGGAAATCTCACATCATTGCAGTCTCTTGACCTCTCTCGCTGCACTTCTTTGGCATTACTTTTGGAGTCTACTGGAAATCTCACATCATTATAGTCTTTTTACCTCTTTGACTGCACTTCTTTGGCATCACTTCATGAGTCTATCGGAAATCTCACATCATTGCCATCTCTTGACCTCTCTAGCTGCACTTCTTTGGCATCACTTCCCGAGCCCATAAGAAATCTCACATCATTACGGTCTCTTGACCTCTCTTGCAGCACTTCTTTGGCATTACTTCCCGAGCCCATCGAAAATCTCACATCATTGCAGTCTCTTCAGCTCCCTGGCTGCACTTCTTTGGCATCACTTCTGGAGCCCATCGGAAATCTCACATCATTGCAGTCTCTTCACCTCTCTTGCTGCACTTTTTTAGCATCACTTTCGAAGCCCATCGAAAATCTCACATCATTGCAGTCTCTTCACCTCTCTGGTTGCACTTCTTTGGCATCACTTCCCGAGCCCATCGGAAATCTCACATCATTGCAGTCTCTTCACCTCTCTTGCTGCACTTCTTTGGCATCACTTCCCGAGCACATCGGAAATCTCACATCATTGCAGTTTCTTCACCTCTCTTGCTGCACTTCTTTGGCATCACTTCCCGAGCACATCGGAAATCTCACATCATTCCAGTCTCTTTACCTCTCTGGCTGCACTTCTTTGGCATCACTTCCCGAGCCCATCGGAAATCTCATATCATTGCAGTCTCTTTCCCTCTCTGGCTGCACTTCTTTGGCATCACTTCCCGAGCCTATCGGAAATCTCACATCATTGCAGTTTCTTAACCTCTCTGGCTGCACTTCTTTGGCATCACTTCCCGAGCCCATTAGAAATCTCACATCATTGCAGTCTCTTTACCTCTCTCACTGCACTTCTTTGGCATCACCTCATGAGTCCATCGGAAATCTCATATCATTGCAGTTTATTTACCTCTCTGGATGCACTTCTTTGGCATCACTTTTGGAGTCCATCAGAAATCTCACATCATTACAGTCTCTTGACCTCTCTGGCTGCACTTCTTTGGCATCACTTCCGGAGTCCATCAGAAATCTCACATCATTGCAATATCTTGACCTCTCTGGCTGCACTTCTTTGGCATCGCTTCATGAGTCCATCACAAATCTCACATCATTGCAGTCTTTTGATCTCTCTGGCTGCACTTCTTTGGCATCACTTCCGGAGTCCATTGGAAATCTCACATCATTGCAGTCTCTTTACCTCTTTGGCTGCACTTCTTTGGCATCACTTTCCGAGCCCATCAGAAATCTCAAATCATTGCAGTTTCTTTACCTCTCTGGCTGCACTTCTTTGGCATCACTTTCGGAGTCCATCAGAAATCTCACATCATTGCAGTCTCTTTCCCTCTCTGGCTGCACTTCTTTGGCATCACTTCCGGAGTCCATCGAAAATCTCACATCATTGCAGTATCTTGACCTCTCTGGCTGCACTTCTTTGGCATCGCTTCATGAGTCCATCACAAATCTCACATCATTGCAGTCTTTTGATCTCTCTGGCTGCACTTCTTTGGCATCACTTCCGGAGTCCATTGGAAATCTCACATCATTGCAGTCTCTTTACCTCTTTGGCTGCACTTCTTTGGCATCACTTTCCGAGCCCATCAGAAATCTCAAATCATTGCAGTTTCTTTACCTCTCTGGCTGCACTTCTTTGGCATCACTTCCAGAGTCCATCAGAAATCTCACATCATTGCAGTCTCTTTCCCTCTCTGGCTGCACTTCTTTGGCATCACTTCCGGAGTCCATCGAAAATCTCACATCATTGCAGTTTCTTTACCTCTCTGGCTGCACTTCTTTGGCATCACTTCCGGTGTCCATCGGAAATCTCACATCATTGCAGTCTCTTGACCTCTCTGGCTGCACTTCTTTGGTATCACTTCCAGAGTCCATTAGAAATCTCACGTTATTGCTGTCTCTTTACCTCTCTGGCTGCACTTCTTTGGCATCACTTCCGGAGTCCATCAGAAATCTCACATCATTGCAGTATCTTGACCTCTCTGGCTGCACTTCTTTGGCATCGCTTCATGAGTCCATCATAAATCTCACATCATTGCAGTCTTTTGATCTCTCTGGCTGCACTTCTTTGGCATCACTTCCGGAGTCCATTGGAAATCTCACATCATTGCAGTCTCTTTACCTCTTTGGCTACACTTCTTTGGCATCACTTTCCGAGCCCATCAGAAATCTCAAATCATTGCAGTTTCTTTACCTCTCTGGCTGCACTTCTTTGGCATCACTTTCAGAGTCTATCAGAAATCTCACATCATTGCAGTCTCTTTCCCCCTCTGGCTGCACTTCTTTGGCATCACTTCCGGAGTCCATCGGAAATCTCACATCATTGCAGTTTCTTTACCTCTCTGGCTGCACTTCTTTGGCATCACTTCTAGTGTCCATCGGAAATCTCACATCATTGCAGTCTCTTGACCTCTCTGGCTGCACTTCTTTGGTATCACTTCCAGAGTCCATTAGAAATCTCACGTTATTGCTGTCTCTTTACCTCTCTTGCTGCACTTCTTTGGCATCACTTCCAGACTCAGTAAAGAGTCTCACATCATGGCAACATTTTCGTGTTAGTGGTTGCTTTGCTTTAAAGCGAAGATATGGACCAAAATTAAAGGGTGTGGATTGGCCAGGACTTGCTCACATACCAAATGTTTATTGGCCTGGTGAATAAGCAATCGGCTTTCTGATCATCCGTTTCAACGAAATCAGGGTATGACCTTTAACTCCATTCTTCTCTTCATGGATAGGTTCACGCGGCTTATGTTCCCTACTATTCTTTTTTTAACTTTCTCTTGCAGTCCTTATCATGTTTTTGTGCGTGTCGCTGCTATGTTATGTGTTCAAGAAAAGACGTTGTTGCTGCTGTTGGTCAAGTCCAAATTCTATTTCTTGTGCATTTACGGAATCCTCGAAGTTGTGGTCTGAACTCTTTTAAAAGGACTTTTAATTACTATTGACTCTGTTAATGAATGAATAAATTGTGGAAATTGTGCTGAAGTAGAATTTTTATATTTCCCGGATTTGATGTTGTGTAAATGTAATTGCTTAAATGATATCACATGTTATGGGTTAGCATTATTCCACTTAAATGCTTATATTATGTACTCTTCGCACAATTTTGAGTTAAAAGCTTTTTATGGAATGTCACATTCAAGACAATATTTCAAATTAAGGGCTACTTGGGCCAAAATATTTTTTATTTAAAAACAAAAAGAAATGGTTTCAGGGTAAATAATAAAATGGCTTTCTTAAATATTTGTTGTGTCCGTCAATATTTTTCTTAATAGATGAGGAATTTCGTCGACGGTGTCGGATATCAATTTTATTTATTTATTTTTTCCTTCGCCAAAAGAGTAAAATTTTACTGACTGCTCTGACTAAAATGCTTGGTGTCAATATGAGCTCAAGAAAAAGATACTAATGAGGATTTTGCCGACAAGCATGGGAGATAAGATGAGTTATAAACAATAAAGATAGTAATATAAAAAAAAATTAAAAGATGAGGAAGTTAGGCCAGTCAAAAGTTCAGGAATTAAGTCAGGACTGAATTATAAGAAAGTTTAAAGTTTTTTTTAACTAAAAACTCAGTTTAAACTTGAAGAACTAAAAGCTTAATTTTCTCAAAAATTTATATTTTAGACCACATGTTTAACAAAACCATTTAAAACATTAAATAATATTTAAAAATATTTAGACTTTCTTTTCCATGACCTGTTTAAATAGAAATGTTGCTGTTTGCTTACTCCCAAAATTACTTAAAAAGAGTATTTTTATGTAAATTAAGACAATATTTTTTTTTACATACTTATCTCATGGTAAAATTGTTTTTAAAAAGGTAATCCAAATTTGTTTAAACCCTAATGAGAGGGACTTGATGATTTCTTCCTTATTTATTTATTGCTACGACAGCGAGCTCAATGGTCTACAATCACGGATAGGAACATTTATTTGTTTTTGTTTTAACACATGTTTTATAGGAAAAATGACTAAAAAAGAATCTTAAAAATAGGAAGTTCAAAAAAAAAAAAGGTTATCACTTCCAAATAGCATGAGAAGAGGAAAAACTTCAACTGAAATTATGATTGGGAAAATAACTAAGGGTCTGTTTGGTTTGAGAGGAGGGGTAGGGGAGGGGAGGATATTTAATGATCCCTTGTTTCGTTCAGGGAGGGGAGGGGAGGGATAGTAATAATCAATTTACCATTTTACCCTTACATATTATTTTATGTTTTTTATTGATATATTATATAAATTAATTTACATCTTAATTTAAATCATATAATTTAGTAAAAATTCAGTCTTATCATGTTAATATGTGTACTAAAAAATTGGTACAGTAATTTTTTATTCTAATTAATATAATAATATATTTAAAATAATCAAATTAACAAATTCTATATGTTCTAAGAAAAATGAAATTTTATTCTCTTTAGGCTATCTTTTTTTCCAGCTTTAAAATATTTAATAAATAATATATTTATAAAAAACAATTAATTTTATAACATTATAATTTTTTATTTTTAAATAATTTTTTATAATATATTTTTAATTATAATAATGTATATATTTTTATTTTTTTTACTTAGGATAATATATTTTTTATTTGAAATAAGTATTATAATAATATATTTTATGGGTAGAAGTGGAATATTAAAAAACTATAAGGACATAATGATCCAAAAATTTGGTTCCCCTCCAAAAACCCCCAATTTGGAGGGGAGCCAAAATGGGGGGAGGGAGGGGAGGGGAGGGGAGGGGAGGGGAGGGGACATTTTAGCTCCCTTCCCCTCCAAAATTTTTAACCAAATGAGGGGAGGGGCTCATTTTCCCTCCCCTCCCGTTCCCTCCCCTCCAACCAAACAAACCCTAAGGGAAAACTAATTTGGATGTCCTTACAGTTTTTATCAGTTTGGAATCAGGTCCTTATGATTTTTTTTCTTTTTATTAGATCCTTTAATTTTCTCCTATTTGGTCCATTACTCCCTATCGTTAAATAAGACAAACATCGTGATAACTTTCCATCAACATCTTCTCCTTTCCTGCCATTCTCGCGACTTCACTGATATGAGTAGTATGAGCTCGTCCATCAAACTCATAAAAACACCTCGAATTCCAGCTGCATCCCACTTGTTCATCGGATATACTTCCCCACTTCCACTTTCTTCCTTTTTTTTTTTAACACTAGATCTGCGCAAGTCTCTCTCCCTTTAAACAGTTTCTTAAATTGAATCCATGCTAGTTATAGAATTTATCTTTACTTTATTGTTGGATTTAGTTTATTTTTCATTTGTTCCTTTATTTTCTGCGATCCTCTTATCTCAAATTTGCTTCCCCTTAGTCTAGACTCTGAATATTCTATCTTAGTAATTCAAGCTCAAAGAAATGAACTTTGTACGAAATCCCCATTTTAAGGTTCTTTGCTTTGTTCTCTTTTCTGCTTCGCCTTTATTCCCTGTGTTCCTCCCCTACCCCTGTGAGCTATATGGACATGACCCAGGAACGCGTTTCCTTCTTGGCCTTCAAACCTGAAGCAAACCAGATGCTATAATTTTTGCAGAGCATACTCGATGTACTACCTGATGATATTTACCATGGAAGGAACAGTGAGTTGGGCAAATGGGGGGTAGGTGATGAGAAGATTTAATGGAAAGTTATAACGGTGTTTGTCTTATTTAACTGTAGGGATTAATGGACCTAACAGGAGAAAGTTAAAGGATCTAATAAAAAGAAAACAAATTACAAGGACTTGATTCCAAACTGATAAAAATTATAAGGACTTCCAAATTAGTTTTTCCAATAACTAATTTGCCTTTGTGCAATACTCAGAAAATGAAGTTATTCTGTATTCCAAACTTATTAATTTATGTTATTTTCAGATCAAATATAGTCATTTTTTTTTAAACTGACACAATGATAAATTGGTCATTTCTCATTTTTATCATTCCAATTCCAGTTTTCCCTTATTTTCTGTCATTTTAGCTGCCTTTCTTAGAATTTTCTATTTTCAAGGTTGTTTTGGTCATTTTTTTCTATTTTATGCGCCATTGACTTACCAATGTTTAATTAAAATAAAATTTTCTTGTAATTTAAAAAAAAAAAACACACACACACACACACATTATATCACATATCCATGGCTGGTCTAAGGTTTCTAAGGTTTTTCTTATTTGGCATATGTTCTTATAATATGACATTAACTTACTAAAGCTTTGAGACCAGATGCATTAACAACTGATCTAAAATAACGGACTTTTATGCCTGTTGTGTATGCCAACAGTCTAAAAAATTACTATCTCTCGTCTTAATTATAAGACCTTGTTTATAATTTATAAATGGAGTCTTATAATTAGGATCGGAGGTAGTACTATATTTTAAACCATGTGTTTTAGCAACCGATTTAAAAATTAAATAATATTTAAGAAATGCAACTGGTCAATGGTGGTTTAAATCGTTTCTCTAAATTTATACTAGTGAGATAAACTTGATGATTTCTTCTTTATTCATTTATTAGTAAGACAGCAGTGAGCTCAAAGGCCTAGAATTACAGAGAGGAAGATTTCTTTATTTTTGTTTTAACTCATATATTAGTTTTATATGCTGTCGACTTGCTAAGATTTAATTAAAGGAGCTTTTCTTTTTCACAAAAAAAAAAAGTGTTGTCACCTAATAACATTGATATTCTCTTTTAAGTGGTCGTGAGTTTGATCCTACTTATGAGTACAATGCAAATTCAAAAATTCTCATGTATATTTATTTTAATGATTTTTTTAAAAGTGACAATTATAAAATTATCTTTATTTTAAATAACATGTCTGTTAAAGTAAAAACTAACTTAAAATATAAAATAAATTTAAATTAAATCTTGATAATACAAAATTAATGTAACCAATGCGCGTTTCCAAGTCCTAAAGCCAGCCTGATATTTTGGATATAAAAAGGTGAAAAACATGGTATCTAGAAGCCAAAGATGGGCTACGTGCTTTGGATTTACTTCCAGACTCAATAAAGCGTCTCACATAATTGCAGCATCTTGTTGGATGCCAATTCTTTGTATATTAATGTTGATACAGTCCAAATTTTATTTCCACTATATCTAAGTCAATTGGATTTTTCTGATGCATCATAGGATCTTCCAAGTAGTGGTTTGAATTCTTTTAAAAAGACTTTTACCAGCAATTAATTCTGTTTAATTTTTCCTTATGTTTCCAAAGGAATGATTAAATCGTTGAAATTGTGAAGTGGACTTTTTATGTCTTGTGGACATGGGTTTGCCTTAATTATGTTTGAGAGATTCCTTTTAGAGGTCTTGTGCACCAAAACCATATTCCCTCTTTAGTAGTGAGTTTTCAAGTAATTTGTTAGAAATTCTAACGAGGAACACAACATTTTAAAACCATAATGGCAAACTAATGAGGTTGCCTCGGCAATGATCTGTGGGCATACAAGAATTTGACAGCAGATATTTGTAAATATTGTACCCAAGTTTTCTCTTTTACTAAAAGCCTTGGCATGTGAGTTGTTCTGTTTAATTACTCTTGTTCTTAATTCAAACAGAAAAAAAAAACCTTCAGGCCATCATTTTTTTTTATCTCATGAGTATTATTGCACTTTCATTAACTTGTGCGGAAGTTATCTCCATCAAAAACTCCACAAAACAGAGAAGAGCATTTCTTGATAAAGACAAGAATCCATATAATTATAATAATGATATAGCTATTTTTGTTAATGGAGCATATTTCAAGGTTTTCAAAGTGGATATATAAGGAATCTAACATCATTAGGGAGGCTTCAAATTGATGGTTGCAGTTGTTTTGATTCGTAATAGAATGGCAAATCTCACTTCATAATTATAGAGAATAATTGAACTCTTCTAATAATGCTCTAATTAAATTGGTGTCTTTTCCTTAATCTATTAATAGTGTCACATCATTATTAAAGAAACTTAAACTCATGAAGTGCTCTGTTTTGGAGTCACATCAAGAGTCCACAATCACAAAGAATCTATGTATCACTGCATACAGGGGTTTCAAAATTGTTCACATTCTACATGTTCTTTCGGAATAAAGAATGGGCATCTTGTTACCTTCAC